TCTGGCTATTGTTAGCTTATCATATAAACCACTCCACAAGCCTGGTCTTTCCTCCTGTGTTAGTTAACCACGGAATTCCTGCTGACCCTGTTCATGTGGAATAAAGGAGAAGCAAGACCCAGTTTCAGCCTCTTGCAATGATTTTCAGTGAATGAAAGACAGACAAGGGTGGGAGGTGTGTGAATTTTAATGAGAGGGAGAGGGGATGACCAAAAGTTGAGGGTGGTGATGACCAGCAATCAAGATAACTCAGCCAGTGATTACTTTGGATCCAGTCAATTTTTCCCTCTGTGCCATTAAGGTTTATTCTCATGTGGGCCTGGAGGCAGCATGGATGACCATTTCTGCACTAGAAGTAGGGCTGCTTGGTCTTTTTGGAGGAGTCTCTACAGATTCCTAAGAATTGAAGGAAGTGAGAACTTCCTGCGGGATAGTAAATTTCCATAAAATTCTAAAGGGCTAAAACAATATTGAGATACCCCCCACACCTTTTAGAATGACCAAAATCTGAAACATTTTAATAATGCTGGCAAGAGTGTAGAAAAACTCTGGAGGAAGCTTGACACATACCTGGTGGAAATAAAAAATGACCAACCACTTTGGAAACTACTTTGGCAGTTTCTTACAAACTAAATATGTTCTTACCCATAAAATATCCAGAAATTGTGTCCCTTGGTATTTACCCGGAGGTATTGAAAATGTATGGCTACACAAAAATTATAGTAGCTTTATTCATGATTGCTAAAATTTGGAAGCAATCAAGATGCAAACTTCAGTAGGTACCTGGATAGATAGACTATGGTATGTCCAGACAATAGAGTATTATTCAACATTAAAAGGAATGAGCTGGGCCCTCCCTGGTGGCGCAGCGGGTTAAAGCACTGCACAAAGAAGCTTAAGCCACTTCCGCATAAGTTCGATCCCGCCTGCCCTGGAGGAGATCCACATGGATCTCCTGACCCGCCCGCTGCTCCCCTCAGCAGTGTACTTCGTCGATCTGCCTGTTCTGCACCCCACTCTGTCTCTCACCCTCGGCATCTCTAGCCTGTACTCCAGTTCTGCACGAATAAATAAATAAATCTTTTTTTTTAAAAAAAAGGAATGAGCTATCAAACCAGGAGCAGACACAGAGGAAGCTTAAATGCATGTTACCGAGTGAAAGAATCCAAACTGAAAAGGCTGCATACTGTATGATTTCAACTATGTGACATTCTGGAAAAGTCAAATTATTAAGACAATAAAAAGATCTGTGGTTGTCTGGAGTTGAGGTGTGGGAAGAGATGGCAGAGCAGTAAATATACTCTTAATAGTATACTGATGGATTCCTGCCATTACCTGTTTGTCCAGTGTAGAGAGTACGGCACTAAGGTTGAAGCCTGCTGTGAACTTGGAATTGTGTGATTATGATGTGCTAATGTAGGTTTATCAGTTTTAATAGAAGTAGCTCCCTGGTGGGGGGTGTTGATAACGGAGGAGACTACGTGAGTAGAGACAGAGGGCCTATGGTAAACCTTTTGTACCTTTTCTTCATTTTGCTGTCACCCTAACACCAGTCTAAAAAAATTGTCTTTACAAAAGAATCTCTTTGAAAATAAATATATCTGCCATGAATATTTATCTATAAGTCTTTGAAACCAAAATTTTATTTCTCTGGAATAAATGCCCAGATGCATTTTCTGAGTGACATGGTCAGTATATATTTAGTTTAAAAAAAATAAAATGTCAAACTAAATAAATAAAATGTCAGAGTATTTTTACCATTTAATATTCTCACCAGCAATGTGTAAAAGACCCAGTTTCTCTGCATTCCTGCCAACAGTTGATATTACCAGTATTTTTAATTTTCGCTGTGCTAATAGGTATATAATAGAATCTCATAGTGGTCTTAATTCCCTAATTGCTTTTCCCTAATTGCTAATGATGTTTGCATTTCTGTAATTGCTGGTGATGTTGAAATCCTGTCATGTGCTTGCTGCCATCTGTATTTCCTCTTCATGAAATGTCTCTTCTAGTGTCTGCTGTCTCCCTGGAGCGCTTGATTTTTACAGTTGAGTTCTGAGCTTTGGTTCTATGTTCTAAATAAAAGTTCTCCTTCAAATAGGTAGTTTGCAAGTACTTCCCCCGATCTGTAATTTTTTCATTTATCTTTTTTATAGGGTCTCCTGCAGAGTACAAGCTTTAAATTTTAAGTTCAATTTATTAATTTTTTTCTTTTATGGACTTCATATGTAAAAACTTTCCACCTACCCTTAGGTCTGTGTGCTTTTTCCTATGTTTTATTCTAAAAGCTTTCCATTTTATTGAAATCTGTGATTCATTTTGAGTTAATTTTTGTAGAAGTGAGGGTTAGACTGGGGTTCTTTATATCTACAAATGTCCAGTTGCTCCAGCACTGTTTGTTAAAAGGATTAGCTTTCTTCCAGTAAGCTAGTTTTTGCACAACTGTTTTTAAAAATTTATTGATTTTGCTTGGATAGGGCTATTTCTGGGTTCTCTGCTTTGTCTCATTGATCTGTGTGTATCTGCCTGTCCACCAGGATCACGCGGGCTTGATTACTATAGCTACACGAGCCTTAAAATCTAGTAGAATGATTCCTGTGACTTTATTCCTTTTCAGACCTGCTTTAGCTATTCTCATTTCTCAAAAGACCTCCTATGATTTCATTTGTGCAGCATGCTAAAAGTGACAAACTATGGAGACGGGAGGTTGACTGTTGGTTGCCATGAGTTAGCAGCAGTGACAAAGGTTGGAGAAGCGTCTGTGCTGCTCTGAAAGAGGAACAGGAGGGACATCTTTGTGGACAATCCTGTATCTTGACCATGGTTGAGTCTGCATAAATCTCCACTGCAATAAAATGTCATAGGTAGAAGTAGATACAGACATTTCACCAATATCAGTTTCCTGGCTTCTATAGTGTTCTGTAGTTACATAAAATATAAGTATTGGGGAAACAACATGGAAGGTACATGGGGCTCTCTGTACTATCTTTGCAACTTCCTGTGAATTATAATTATTAAAAAATAAAAAACCAAAGGGGACCTTGTGCACTGTTGACAGGAATGTAAATTCACACAATGCATGCACACAGATACCCTAAGTCCTAGCATTGAATGAAGGGACACATTTCATTTTATACTGACCAGAGAACATGTGTTGCCTATGCAGGAGTGTGAGGTGACACACTCCTGTGGCGTCTAAGACAATTGCCAGGCCCAGAGCGCACACCCTGTGAGTGCCATAATAAATCAGGAGACACTAATAGCAGCTCATGTTTATTGAGGACCTCCACGTGCTGTATTCTGTGCTCTCTCTCTCACTTCATTTCATTCTTTCAGTATCCTGAGACTGATTCCCTCATGTAAACTCATCACAAGGTCCTTGTGACTTTTTGTGAAATACCAAATAAGGAAGCCAGTTTTACCATAAGCTAATTGATTGAAATATGAGTTAAGTTTCTATGTCCTATTTCTGGTCACAAAAAAATCACCAAACTTTTAAGTCAAGACCCAAAGTATTTCTAATACTAAAAAATAATATTTCATTCATTCAGTTTTCAATCTGTTTATTCTAGTTCAGGGTCATGGTGGCCAGAGCCTACCCCGGCAGCTCAGGGCACACGGTACCCCTGGACAGGACACCTGCTGTCACAGGACGCCCTCCACGCACACCCACTCATCCAGACTGGGCCAAGGGATGCAGCCCAACGATCAGAGCATGCATATCTTTGGCAAGTGGGAGAGAACAGGAGTGCCCAGAGAAAACCCACGCCCTCCTGGGGAGATCCTGCACAAGGCCTCCACCAGGAGTTCATTGTTTTCCATCTCCTCAGCATAACAAAATGGAGCTGAATGAAGTGGTAAGACTTGAGGACCTGCTATGTGTGCAAAGTCTCACCCTGCAAAGTGGCAGTTCAAGTGGCTGCATGCATGGATCCATAAAGGAATGTAAAAATGGGTAATGAACATTTCATTTATCAATGAATAAATCCACATGTTTTCATCTTCTTTTTAATACTTGGAAACCTTCTGAGTCTTAAGGCTGAAGGCTCTAGAGCATCAAAAAGCATCTCAGCCAACTTCCCTAGAAACCTAAGTAAAATCATGTGGTCATGATAGTCATTTCCTATTTCTGCTTACTTTGCAAGAACAGTAGGGTGGGCTTGCAACAATAAGACAAAAATACTCACCTTCCCCTTTTTACATGGGGAGGGACAATTTTTCATAAGTTGATAATTTACATTTCAGAACACAGGCCAGAGAAGTGTTTGCTGTCCTAGAGGTAACATCTTTACTGCCCAGATCAAAAACAGCCATGGGAGATGGAATTGAAAAGGCTGACTCATGGTTACACGGGCAGCATTCAGGAGCGAGGATACTCAGTCTGTTACAGTTCTGAATCCAAATTTGAGTTACACCAAATTGTACCTATATGTGTTTTCCATCTTTGTTCCTTAACCTCATAAATACTTCCCAAGCTCCATCTTTGGGGAGACAGATTTGAGACCCTTGCCTCCACTCTCCTTTGGGGTGATCCCACATCAAATGGGTTTGTTTCTCAAAAGTTGGACTCTTGGTATATGGCTTCTGCCATCAGTTAGTAGGCCCACGTTCAGCAACATAAAGATGACTCTACCAGTCTACTCACACCCAAGATGAATCAACCCAAGGATTCTCCCTCTCTCTATCTCCTTTAAGTCTCTTGGTTCCCACATGTGCCCCTTAATCCACTCCTGGCCCAGTAGGCTTTCCTGTGACTGGTAGATGAGAAATTGTCTTCAAGAGTTTAGTAATCACCGCCCTCACCCCATTGGGCCATTGGTGAGCCATGGGTCAGCCCCAGCAATGACTGTCCATTGCTTCTTAACTCCCATCCTGTCACCTCCCCACCCTCATTCCATTTATCATAGCATTCCTCAGATTGACAGACATGACAGTCAGATTTGTGAGTTTTAATGGCGACCCTGAAGCAAAGCCATTTCTTCTCAGGACCTCTGTCCCCCTCAGCGGTACTGATCAGCAGTTTTCGTCCACGGGAGCACTCTATCAACTGTCCTCGGTTTGACTGTTAAATAACGAGTGAGGACACAGCATCGTTTGCGATTTGCACAACGTAAGAGCTTTTGTTCATCACTTTTGCAAACCAGTCGGCATGTTCCATTCATGAAACATTTGTCTTCTGGGCACAGGAACAACAAAAAAGCAAAAGTTAGTATCCCTTAGGAGAATAGGCAAGAGGACAAGCCCAGGAAAGGGAGGGCCAGGAGGCTGAGGGTTAGGTGAATAGTGCTGGCTGCAGCTCCAGGAAGAGACACAGTTCTGAAGGGCGAGAACTGAGGCAATTGTTCCAGTGTTGAGAACACCAAGATTGGAGGAGAACCTTTTAAGACATCCCACCATCTGGCTTCCTACCCCCCAAACTCCTAACTTTGGGTTCAATTGAAGCCAATGACAATCCCACCTAATGAAGCTAGGGTGTGATGAAAAAAAGGACAATAAACGTTATTCACTCACTGCTTTAAGATCAAGCAATGTTACCTGTAGAGAATGGAGGGGATTCACCCACATTTCAGCAGACCCTACTCCTTATCAATCAATGGCCTGATCCTATCTAACTTATCCAAAGAACCCCAACTCCAGCAATAATCCACTTGCCATCCCTCTTTGACCCATGTCACCCAACTCAAACTCAAAACCCAGTTCTATATTCATTAGACCTTCCAGCCCCTTGAGTCCCAACTCCAAGCCAAACCCAAATCTAAGCAATAGTCCATCACCCAGCTGAACTCCACACACCCTGCCCATTCAGTAACAACCCTCAGCCCATGCTCAGCCTAATCCCCAGTGCCAGTTCCCCTCAATCTAAAATCCCATTGCCTCCCCCGCCCCTTAAACTCTCAGTGAAGCCCAACTCCTCACATCCAACTCAGCTTCTCTCCATCACTCCAACTCCAAGGTCTTTCTCCCCTTTCATAATGCCCCTCCTCCAGCCTTCAATGTAATCTCTAAACTTTCTAACAAGCCCCCACCCAACCTGCCCGCACCCCATCACCCCTAACTCCTATCAAAGATTCTCACCAGAATACTATTCTGCTCTTCAGTACCAGGTGCTCTAAAGATCTGTCATTCCACTCTCATGCAAAAAAAAAAAAAAAGATTCAGAGATTGACATGAGATGATCATGGGGAAACCTCCAAAAGCACGTGAAATAAGAAAGGTTTCAGTTGCTACCCATAGTGGGGCGGGGGGCAGAGGGGGTGCGGGGGAAGGAAGACGCTCATAATCAGGGCCCCAGACACTGGTGAGAGACCCAAATTACCTGCTATCACTGGTTCCAAGGCCAAAAAGATGGCAAGAAACAGGAAAGGAAGCTTCATGGCTGGCGGATCGCAGAAGGAGGCGTCTGTGCTGCCGGGAATATAAACAGCTCCCTGCAGCAGGAACAGCCTCGCTTTTATGGCCAGGCCGTGGGCAGTGAGTTAGAGCAGGAGAAGATTTATACGGCATCAGTCAGGCCAAAGGACAGACGTGGCAGATGGAACAAGCACGAGACTGGCGAGTGGGAAACTGGCCAGCACTGAGCCAAAGCCCTGTCCGCGGGGGGGAAAGACACGGGCAAATTAAGGCCTCCGGGGACTACCCTCGTATTAACCAACAGCAGCATGCGTATCGAGAAACTTTTCATTTTAAAAAAGTACTTTTTCGG